GTGCCCATCCCATAATACTGATTGGGTTTCCTGTGGTTAGATGGCAGAACAATAAAATCCCAATGCTATATATCCCTCACAAGACTTATCCAAGTCTCGAGTTATCCTATTGTGGGCTAAAAACTCTACCGCATAATAAAGTTAGTCTTCGGGAACCTTGGTTGGTAATGACCGCTGATGGTTGTATCTTAAAACAGCAACAAGAATCGGCTTCAGTTTCGCAGGACGTTCAACTCACACCTACAGAACAAGAACCAAAATCTGATTTTAAAGGATCTGTGGTTGAACTACGAGTAAGTATGGCGTATTAGTAACGAATTGTTAGTGGTATCTCGTAACATCGAGGCAATGGGTACGCTGCAAACCATATATTCATGAAATAGCCTTAAACACATCTTTTTCTTTCTATTTTTTTCATTGGTGCTATAGACCGAATCTAAATATGGCGACCAATTTGAATAACTATTAATCTTCACTGACTAGCGACTTACTAGCCTGTCATACATGTGAAAACGCTTTTATGTTTCCATGTAAGTACCAGGCAAGCGTACTGGTCGCCATATTTCGATTTGGTGTATTTTAATTAGTTAGTAATATTTCATCGATATATGGTTTTCAGTCTACTGGATTACCCCACCTCAACAATCGGATCCCGTAACATGACCATTGATTTAGCGTCATTTTGAATTTGTCCCAAATAGATCTTATCCACTGATTTTGCCATGTCTGACCACGTGTCATTCCCTAGAGTATCATTTCTTTGTTTAACGGTTGTAAATGAGAAGACACATGAATATGGACAACAGTTCAACAAAGAAATATAACAAAGAAATTATATTCTAGGTAATGACACGCCCAGTGCTAAGGGGTCTATTGTCTTTAATACATATTTTGATATTTGTAGGGTACTATAAATACAGAAGAACCTGAGGCTACCCCCTCTCAGGATGATTTAGCAAACATTCAGGATATCAAGAAACGATTAGACCGAATCAAGAACGCTGCTAGACATTAACCAATCCAACAAAACGGCATGGATTCTATGGTACACCTGTTTTAAAAAGCGTCTTTCGGAGACCTGAGACCGTGCTTTGATGTTTTCTGGGTAAAATTCGAAAAATTAGATTCCTAACTCACGCTCAGGTCACGCTTCATGTTCCAATCTAAAAGGAAACTACGTTGTTCGGCATTGAACGTATTACAATTTGCAGCATGCTACTTGGTCTCAGATAGCATATCTCTAGTCTCTTAAGCAGCCGCTATTAGTTTCGTCACGCAACGCTTACTCCCCTAAGTAGTGAGCGTTGCGTGACGACACTTATAGCGGCTGCGTAGTAGACTAGCAGATCTCCCAGCGACAACTTTTTTTAAAATAGGTGTAAACCTATCAATGCTGAGGAGGTGTGCGCTGGGGACACACCCTTGTTGTATTCCCGACCCTCGGAGTGATTACCAGATTATCTAGGTCTTGTAGCCGTAGACCTATTGTGAGAGAGCCATCGGGCTGCATTCTGGTCCAGCTTGAGTACAAACATCTGTTGATGTTATTTGTAACCAAGCAAGACTACGATACATCTCGTTTATCGAACTCGAAAAAGGCCTTTTCTTTATACGTTTTGTTGTGTTCTACAGATATCTATTTCCGCTCATAAAAAGTACACTCTAAATAGCACCGCTTGTAGTTTCAATGAAGCCTCTCTTGTTCGCGAACAGACGCTGTCTTTTCTCTTGTAAAGACCTTTAATTCATTTAATAGAGGGAAAAAAGAGGGTTTGGTTGAAAATATACTGCAATCCGCGCCAAAACTGTTGAGAACCCCTTTTTGTTTACTACACTTCTATTAACATTTGCATACCTGTCAATAAATAAATCCCCACTTTACTCTTATCTACCCCCTCCCCCCCCCNCCCCCCCCCTACCCCAACCCAGCTCATTAATACGGACTTTAAGATTTGCAAAATCTACGACGGCGACGTCAACGGGAAGTGTAAATGATTTCTCTCTTGGGTTATGTTCATTGGAGATTTCATTCAAAACATTGTCAGTAAAGTTAACTCATCCACAGAGAAGACAGACTTTGTAGACGCCAGACCCTAAGGTGAAACTATTAACAATTCCGGTCGACGTCGCCATCGTAGATTTTGCAAGTCTTTAAGTCTCTGATGTTATTTCTGTACGAGGCACACCCCTCACTCAAAGCAGAAGCTGATCATCTCAACATTGTGAAGGGGGAGGGGGGGAGTTATATAGCTTTTTTTGAGGGGGGGGGGGTAGTGATATAGTTTGTGTTGTGTTTTGGAAGGGTAGAGGAAGTGGAACATGAGTCGACTAGTTTTGGCGCGGATTGTGGAACTTAAGATTTCCCGTTTTGGTTAAAGTTGGGTTGATTTAAGTTGTATTTCAATTGTAAATAGAATGAAATATGCCCTGGCTATGTAAAACACTTACTATTTGTACATATTACAATAGGTGTGTTAAAAATAGTTAATCTTTAATAAAAAATATTAGAGAAATATCTCTCGCTGTTGTCTCTCTCCTGTCGAGGTATTTACACGGTTTTTCAAAATTTCGATGCTAGAATGCAATCACTTAACCCGTGAAATAGATATAGACAAAAATATGGATATAGAAATAGACACTTCAAACGCTGAACTTCACACGAGCCGAACCTAATTGAAACAATTGATAACGAGGTGGTCTTCTATAAACTATAAAGAATATATGTATGATCAAAAAAAGCAACTATAAAAATATATAGAATACAAATATTCTGGAAAACCACATAAAATAGCCTTGCCTAAATAGGTATGTCTTCAAATGCTTTTTAAATTTATTCAATGATGTTGCAGTGCGTTAAGTTATACTAAAGGGATACTATTCCATAATTTAGGTCCTCCAATACTTAACCTACGGTCACCATATGTAACCAATTTGGATCGCGGGACCTGAAGCAACTCTTTGGAAAAGGAACGCAGAGAATAAGAACTACAAAAAATTAGTATATTAGATTAATAGCTTGGTCATAGTCCATTGATAGCTTTATATACTATTAGAAAACTCATTAATAATTCATGAGGAAAACACAACAGAAATCACGACCGTGAAGAGTTCTGTAAATCTGATACAAAACTGTGTTCATTTGCATAAACTTTAAGTTGGATTTTCTTGGCCAAATTCACTTTAATTTTGAAAATTTTAGTGAAACACAAAGGAACTAACCTAGACGTTTGATAAGTCATATACAGTATTTGTGTCCGTGTTGTATCAGATATACAATCGCTCGGCTACGCCTCGTGGTTGTATATCTGATACAACACGGCCACTCATACTGTATATATTACANAAAAAGAACACATCTTGGCTCAATCACAAAGGATTCTCATAACATAATTTTCAAAGCTTTACGTTTAGGTTCCTTAAAAATAAAACAAGGCTTAAAACACGTTATTTTCGATTTTCAAGACATTTTGTGATCATTAGCCTTAAAAACATGATTAAAAAAAAAATTTCAAGACCAAAACACGGCCATGTTTGGTATCAAAACAAGCCTTGAGCAAAGCTCCCTCATTTCCCGCCAACTTCGATACGATCAGAAATACACGATTGCTCTACGATCAAGCCGAAAAGATCACGAAGCCGTTAATCGAAATGTAGATTCCAGTCTCCGATAGTTGTCTCACGTCCAATATGGCGGACAGTGAAATTTATCGCGACATTTTCGAGGGCGCGCGTGCCCGACGTGTTACATAACAATATCTTATACTTAATACAACGAAGAAAGAAAGAGAAGAAGAAATATATGTTATTTACCGGATAGGGAAAAACTGTGCCCGAGTTCTTGAATATACGTTTTCAAGACCGAGGGCACAGTTTTTCCCTATCCGGACCGACTATAGGACGGTAAATAACTTATTTATTATTTTCCCGTATTTTTTCCCTTGTTTTTGTAATCGTTTTGTTTGTTGTTTAGCGGCAACAGGTCACAGGCCAATATAACTACGTTAAGATTTCGAGTCTATTTATTTTAGTTTTTTCAGTGTAACTATTATATTTCCTTCCAGGACTTTGTTTCAAAACAATCGGGTTTCCTTTATCCGCCCACACCGTTCTGCGTTGACGGTAGAGTCTGTAGTTTGATGAGACAGGAAGAACGGTCGTGGCCTTTTGCTGAAACAAAAACAGTACAAGTCTACTAACACTACAGTAGAGTGCAAACAAACCCAAATAAATAAGCAGTGTTGCATGAGCAAAAACATTGCTATCGTCATACTACCGCTTGTCTGGCTCAGTAGTATGATTCCAACAACAAGAACAATGGGTGGCGTACATACGCTTTTCATGCATCGTCTTTCACCGCTGGGAGCTAGTCCAGCTGGTCGGGTCGCTAGTTCATGTGAGTTGAGTTTGTTTGATGTGTTTTTCTCACCCTTGCCACGAGAGTTTTTCTCCAGGTTCTCTGGTTTACCTCCATAAAAATCCACATGTGAGTTGAGTTATGTGTTGTTCTCTCCCTTGCCACGAGGGTTTTTCTTCAGGTTCTCTGGTTTTCCTCCCTCCATAAAATCAACATGTGAGTTGAGTTTGTTTGATGTGTTGTTCTCTCCCTTGCCACGAGGGTTTTTCTCCAGGTTCTCTGGTTTACCTCCCTTCATAAAAATAAACATGTGGGTTGAGTTTGTTTGATGTGTTGTTCTCTCCCTTGCCACGAGGGTTTTTCTCCAGGTTCTCTGGTTTTCCTCCCTCCATAAAAATAAACATGTGAGTTGATTTTGTTTGATGTGTTGTTCTCTCCCTTGCCACGAGGGTTTTTCTCCAGGTTCTCTGGTTTTCCTCCCTCCATAAAAATCCACATGTGAGTTGAGTTTGTATAGAGTGTGTATAGAGAATACACGGCCCTACAAGCTTCTAGCTTTAAAGCCTGCCGTATATAAATAATAAAGATTTGTTTATTTATTTACAAGGAGCCGACGAAGAAGAACAACGAGAAGAGGTTAACAAAACAAAAAATTGAGAAAAAGGAGTAAGCAACAAAGTTACTAATTATCCCCAAGTTCTCCTGATATTTTCCTAGTCACAGGTCCAACCGATGACAATTTCCTCGGCCCCCTGCCGTCATTCTGCTGAGAGCTGAAACGACATTTCAGCGGGTCGAACAAGCTTTGCGAACCAGGTAGACACTAGATAAATAGAAAAAAACTCTTGCAGAATAAGTCATTTAAAGACAGTTAAAAACCAGTTCATACTTTAAGAATCGTTTTGATCAGTGCACATACGATTTTATCACAAATTTCTCACCAACTCTTGTTGAACCATCTTTTGTTGTTAAGTAAACAAAACAAGATGAAAAATTCGGGATAAAATCGCATGCACGCACACTGAAAACGATTCTTAAAGTATGAACTGGTTTTTAACTGTTCCTTCTACAGTTAACGGTCACAATACGTTATTCAATAGAAAAAAGCAAAAAAGACTCCAAGTTATACTAGAACGAAAATGTGTAATAGTCAAATAGACACAAAAGAAAACAATGGAATTAGGGTCTACTAAAGTGTATTAGTCTAATATCTATTGCACGGGTTTAGTGACTTCACCGCTGAAAAACCTCGGGCGATGGTGGCTTCACTAGGGTATATTTATGGACCGGAAAGGATCAAAAACCTTGGAGACCTTGGTAGAGCTAATGACATGAATAATGATTCAAGTTCCATCGTAATTAGAGGATAGAACTGGATTGTTAGGTCACAAGTGATTGTTTTTTTAGGAACTTTCTCTAATAATCTTTCATATTTTATGTTTTTTTGTGTGTGTGACATCAGAGCAAACCATCAATTTTACCATCCATCCATCCATCACTCCATCCATCCATCCATCCATCCATCCATCCATCCATCCCTCCCTTCACTAATAAATGCACAGTTTTCGACCAATCAGCGCGCGCGTACTATCCTAACTATATAATAATGAATATAAAACGCACGCGTCCGTCTCTGTACTGTTCTGCTGTGAGCTGTAGAGAACAAGAAAAGTACGTTTATGAACACGAGGCGTAGCCGATCGAGTGTTTTCTTGCTCTCGAGTGCTCTACAGCTTCCAGAATGTTATTGTAGAAATAGAGAACNCCATCCATCCCATCTATCCATCCATCCATCCATCCATCCCATCCATCCCATCCATCCACATCACTCATACTACAATTGAACCACACTGAAGAGAAATTTGTTTGATTCGAAAAAGGGGTTGATATTCAAAGTTGTCATACAGATATTAGTAAAACTTTGGAGTTTTGAAGTTTAACAAAGAACCGTATACTGTAAATTGGCTTGATAACACACATAATTTTCTTTCTAATTAACGTTGTAAGGTCAGTCTCGACAAGATTAATTATCGGCAATCTTCACGAAACTTTGCAATAGTTTACTAATATCTATATGAACAATTTTACTATAAACGTTTTTAAAATATAGAATGAATAATTGAATTTTTTGAATAGCGTGACGCCACCGTAAAAAGACCATATATCAGGGCACATTCTTCATGTTGTAACACAACCTCTGCGCTCCTGTTTCTCCAGACACCGTCGGAAGCCGTGAATTTTCAATGACTTTTCAATGCGGCGTTCTTTCCCCGCGGGAAACCATTCGGAAACTCCGTCGACTCTACATCTTTTTTTCAAAAATATAGTTAAAAAATCTTCAATATAAACGCATTGACAAGAAATTCTTCCAATTTTAAAACCAATGGTCAGTTCAGAAAACTTAAAATTTAGAATAATTCTTTTAGGGATTCTTTGCTAAGATTGTCCCCAAGTGACTCTGCTTTGACCCTAGAGAGTCGCTTACAGGAAACAGCGCAGTCACGTGCAAGCTGTCAATCAACTTTATGTCATACAATACCTCTAAAAGATTACGAAATGAGTAAAGTAAATCTTTAGAATCCTCTATACTAATACTACTGCGAACGTTAGCCTTAAGGGAAGATAGTTTTGTATTCTTTAACTTATGCTTTTGCCATTCTGTTAGATTCCGTGAGTTTTTTGATGGCGTTGCTTCTCAACTAGACACGCTATCCCCATTTAAACACAATATGGAAATACCAGAAGACGGCTACGGTTTCCAAGCTCCGACACTCGGTAAGTTATAAAAGTGTAGCGCGGTAAAATGCACGATAATAAATTTGCGAATTTTATTCCTACAAGCTAAACATTTATTTTTATTTCTTACTAGGCTTAACGGGTGAAAACATTGATCCGGTTCTGGGTTTAGAGTATGGGATTTTCTGTGCCAACGCTTCAGATGAAAGGTAGGTTTGAATTTAGTATATTTATAGTAATTAACGACCCATGCTTTTCTAGTTGAAGTGTCTATTTTCTTTGATAGTTTTGGAAAAATCGGCGCTGCAATTGCGTTGCAAAGCTCCGAGCGTGTTGAGACTTGCATTCAGAGATTCATATATCCTACGATAACATTTGATTCATAAGGACTTTGAATGAATCCTTGATCAAACAAACAAAATGCCAAAAGGGCTCCTCAACAAAACCACATCCGACAACTGCGAAGCAGAATTTATTAAAGAAACTTTCTCGTATATTAATAAACTCCTAGAAAAAATGATAAGTTCTCAGGATTTTCAACAAACTAAAATCCCTTATAATTAGTTTAAGTTGTCAGTATTTTAAATTTAAGTTATGGTACTTTGAAGTTAACTAGTTTAGTATAATGCAAATAGTAGTGTTGTAATTCCCTTGTAAAGAGACTGGATAGCTCTTGAAATTCAAGGTATAATTCGGATTGGTTTTGAAATACTCTGAATTTAGGATTTCAGGTATTGAAAAGCAGCTTAAGAAAAATATTCACGCAAATAAGAGAGAAGAGTTCGAGATGAAGACAAAGTCATTAAGCGATTTCATATCTTCAACATTTTATTACATAGTTGACTCTAAATAAACAATTTGCTGTAGTTAATTGATAAAGTATCTGTATTCAATTTTACTAGCTAGCTTTTGATTTAATTGCTTTTTATTTGAATGGACGCTTAACACTGTAGAGCTTCGCTATTCCGCGCTTCTTTGAAGGAGAGCAGAAGAATGCGTTCCTTTTAATCAATGTCTCGTCTTTTCTCACTTCAGTTGTGTAATTTTTTTGCATTTTATCCCCGACTTTTACACGACTTTTATGCCAACACAATCCAATTTTCTTTCCTTACTAGTGTTCTTATGACATTGATTCTGTTTTTAGGCCGAGCTTTTGTAATTTAGTAGGGTTTTCATTGCGGTACTTCCAAAGGTGTTAGACGTGGAGTGGGTACAATTCCGAAAATTGAAACCTTTACAGTGCTGGGGGGATCGACTCCAAAGATCTACGCGACYTCACGAAGGTCATTTTGAAGGTTTTACATGGAATGTAATTTGTTTTAGCTTAAAAATAGCGAATAAAAACAAGAAATTTGGACTCAAATTTTGATTTTATTCCTGTGTAAAACTTAACTGAAATGATTTGTTTCTTGTGAAAGTTGTCGTGAAAATTCCGGAGGTTTAAAGTCTTTCAGTACAAAGTAAAAAACCTGTAGTTTGAATAATGTCCGTATTGTTCAGTAAACATTTTTGTATATGGTTTACAATTGATTTATTATATTCTTTAAACAGAAAATTTTCTAACTTGGGAATATTTTTACTTTATCTCCAACGTCGTTTCGCTTTAGAAGTCGATATTTAAACTCTGGTTCCAATTTTCACCTATAAATCAACATTTAAATTTGGGATTAAAAACAAATTTTTTGAACAAAAAAAAGCTCCTAATTTATAGCCTAACGACTCATCATGTGTATATTTCCATTTTTAATTAGCATCTTATCAACAATTTAAGCTAAGTGAGTTTTGTTTGATTAGATTTCGGAGCTTAGAAAGTGCTTTGTCATAAAGATAAACAATGCTGTGTCAATTATCGTCCTTCGAACTGCAACCAAATTCGTAAATTTTGCAAACTCTTTTGACTTTTTTTAATCAAATTTGCAATAATAACCAAGCTATTTTTCTCAGTTTTATAGATTTTAATTAATGTTTTTTTAACTTCTACCTGACATTATTTAATCCAAAAATAATATTTGTCAAAAGTTAAACGTTATGAATGATTCAAGATGGCGGGGCTTTCTGTAAATCCACATCTCTAATTCATAAGAACATCAACCAAATACCGCTAAAATATATGTTTGTCGTTTAATTATTTAAGCCTTCTACCTTCTCATTCGATTAATTTTAAATGTTTTAATCCCAAAAATCTATTTTTTTTAATTTTCCGACCCGTTATACGCATCGAAGAAAATTGGGAAGCACAAAAACTTACAAATACATGTCATCTCTTAGGGTTTAAACAAACTTCTTAATAGAAATTTGTAACTTTGACATCATTTCAAAATCTCTCTAAAACATAATTTGCAACACTTATTATACTTATCTATATCATTAGATTTTAACAGGTTTTCTAGCTTATACGAAAACGACCCTCATTAACTTATAACAATATCAGCCTTCTGATTGGCTAGTTTCTTTGTTTCTATATTTAGAAACATTAATTTACTACCAGTCCTAACACACACTTCAAACTAATTGGCATTAATCTTAGAAGCATCCTTTTATCCTTAAGTAAAATATAGAGGTAAATAAGGTTTTTTTTCACGATAAAGAACTGATTTTTCTGGTTAACTTGTCAACCGAACTGTAGTTTCTGTTTTTAACGAGGTGAATAATTCTTCATCTTACACGCTCGATGTAGAAAATGATATTTTGTTTACAGATAGTTTAGGAGCTTTGATTTAGGTGATTCCCTATAATGAGAGCGAAGTATTAAAGGCCAATACATGTCTAAACACGAATGAAGTCATTTAATACTCTTAAGAACAGTATTACTAACAGGTTTTTAATATGCTTGACCTCCTCGTATTGCTCGAATGCACGCTACGTCATGGCGGCCATGTTGGTGTGATTTAGCAAAAGATTTCTCGTTAGCGTCCATCGTTAACAGAACCAAGATGGCAGCGAAATCTTTGGTTAATGGTACACCAACATGGCGGTGATGTCGTCACATGCTAACCAAGAATAGAGGCATGGCAGCCATGTTGGTGTACACAACAAGAGAAGCTAACGAGAAATCTTTGGTTAACGGTACACCAACATGGTGGTGATGATGTCACATGCTAACCAAGAATAGAGGCATGGCAGCCATGTTGGCGTACTTATGACATAACAAGAGAAGCTAAAGGACCTGAGGAAAACAACATGCCGAGAATAAGCTAATTCGATCACAATTAAAAACAAAATTAATTCGATGTGGGGGATCTTAGCAAGTGAACTTCTTGACTTGAATATTTTAAAAACAGCTAGTTTATTTACATTTTGAGCTGCGTTTTCGGCGACTTGCAGATGCGGATGCTTTGTTATCGGCTTCGATTTTTCTCGGCTTCAAAACAAACTCACGTGAAAAGTATTATGCGAAGTTATTCCTAGTACAGAAAATCTGGTTGATCTCCTGTGTCACAATAAAATCCAAGTTCAATATGCAAGGCATTTCCGTTCAGACGGAACCCCCATCAACAATGAACTTGTAGAATGTTGCTATGGCAGCCGATTGGACTTTGGAACCTGTCTGATAGACGTATACAAATATGACGAAAATCTGGAATGGAATCTTGGATTCYGGATTGGATTTGGGGAATAATTGCTTTTGTCAGCTGAATGAATCTCATGAATCTCTACCAGCCTACAATGACATGCAAACACTGCCCGTCATGTGCTATCAATCAGAGAGTATTCTATTGCTTGGTATCAATCAGCTGAATGAATCTCATGAATCTCATTACCAGCCTACAATAACAGGCAAACACTGCCCGTCATGTGCTATCAACCAGAGAGTATTCTATTGTATCGTATCTTTGCTTTACAATTGTTCTATTTACTTTAGATACGTAAAGATAGCTTGATATTTCTTAATTTAATGGTCACGTAGCAATAGTTTCGTAATAAGAGGTTACATCTAAAATCGTAAGCATTTTTCAACACTAGCTCTTCTCCTCGTTGATCTTTGACTTGGTAAACGATCGTTTCTCGTGAAGCAATGCATTATTTACTTCAAGGGCACACTTCAAAAGTCTTATTTTGTATCCAATCTCGTTGGGTAAAGCGATTCGGAAAGATCAAGCAACATGCCTCTCATGGCGTTTCCTGCTTCCGCTCTAGATTATCATAACTGAAAGAAATAGGAAAATATTAAGGAGTTCTGATGAAGCAAAGAGCAAAGGTTTGTCTTTGTCGACAGGCTTATCTTAACTTTCAATCGTTTTTCTCCGCTGATATTGATCAGTTTTGAATAACGAATTGTCTAACTGTCTGGTATTTTATAAAGTACCTTTGCTAAATGTTCTGAAATTTCTTTTGGGAAAAAAAAATCAAAATTAGCCAACTTTGCTTCCTTACGAGCATAAAGCTTGCTTAATTTAAGGTTCGGATTTTCTAGTTTTTTTWATATTAAAGTGAGGACACTCAAATGGTAAAACTACGCCGTTTTTTCAGGTTATAACTTCCTGAACTTTCAAACTCTGGCTGTAAAGTTAAGCATTGACTTCACATACATCGAGTGATCAAAATAAATCTTATTTCCAATTGACTAATGGTATGATTAACAATATGTATTTTAAACAAGTTTTCACGATCCGTGTCTGCTCACTGTATTTGTTTCGTTGCGTGTTTGTGCCGAGAATATGCATCACTTGAACTTGACCTTTGAARTGTCGCTGGCGCAGAAATGCTTTTATATTAAAACGAAATTGTTACAGTTTTTTTCAATCTTGGCTTTTGTAATTCAATATCTTTTTCTCCTCCTTGTTTTTCTCTGGATATTCCGGTTGTTCTCCCTCTGCAAATCGTCAAATCGTGACATACTAAAACTGATGTTCATGTTACAGGGGACGATTCGCGGTACTTTCGTCGTGTACGGATTAACGAAGCACGTCATAGCTTTCCGAACACACACAGTGAGACTTAGAAATTTTGGTTCTTCTCAAAAAATTAAGTGAAGACACCAAGAATCGAACTCGGTACATTCGGCACCAAAGAACTACTACAATGCCAACCCTAACTCTAACCCTAAACCTAACCACTAGACCACGAAGCGAATTCGGTTGGTTGGTCTTATTTCTTAGTCATATTTAAACGATGTATCATCAGCATGTGCTCATAAATATTTATTATAGTTTCATYTWTGCTATCGTAGGGTACGACTACTASCTGATTACTCGACATTTGAATTTGAATAGAATTCCACTGACAATTCCCGTACACGACGATACAACCCGATTCGCAACGACGATTTTTCGCGATACGACTCGTAGATTTTTAATACATATGTTACACGAGTCAACTTTTCGCGCAACGTTCGTTCAAAAATCAGCATGTTACACGGGACGATTTTTAGCGATTTCAAAGCCGCCATCTTGTTTGTTGCCATCACCTCGCTTCTATGAGAGTATTGGACTGCATTTTGAGTATGCGTTTAAATACCTTAGCAGATTCCTTGAAGACAATAACAATATGATGTTCAACATGGACCAACCAGATGCAGCACACGTSAACCCTGCCTACGTYAATAACGAGGGACATGACGTCATGTTCTGCACAGGTACGTCATATATCACGTCATCATTACATCTCATACCACATGTCATTCCCTTGAGTATTATTTCTTTCTTCATCAGTAATGTTTTCCCATCTCAGACCACATGTCATTCCCTTGAGTATTATTTCTTTCTTCATCAGTAATGTTTTCCATCTCAGACCACTTGTCATTCCCTTGAGTATTATTTCTTCCTTTACTGTATATGGTTAATTATTCTCATTCTWTTTTTTCTTAAGGGCCGACGTATGAGGCAGCCATATTGCATAACAGACAAGAGTAAGTCAGTCAAAAATCTATTATTAGAATAGAGGCCTTGTACCATCACGYGATGGCARCCATTTCAGGAGGCACAACAATATAGTCTTTCTCCCCTGGGAAACTGATTTCTTTCTCATGTAAATCAGATTAGACCAGATTCAATTGTTCCTGCCTCTTGTCATGCCTGCCATCACGTGATGGTACAAAACCTCTRTTCTCCTTTCCAAAACATTTTTACTAAGGATTCTCAACCCGTCAACCTAACCTAACTATTCTATGCTCTACGAGGTCATCAACAGTTGCTCTAGACTGTTCCCACCAATACAAAAGACACCACTGTGTTCCTTKATCACAGCTTTATACATTCAGGGTTATCCTCGTATCGGTGTCTAAATATTCACAAATACCAATGGTAAAATAAAGAATGCACAACTTCAACAATGCAATGCAATGGACCTTGACTGGAACACATAAATATTCTACGAAAAATTGAGGCTGACCCTGAGCAACAGAGAACTAGAATCAAATATTTCTTGTTCCTCATGATCCTAATAAGCTTGTTTCATTCTGTTTGTTATAGCCCAATAGATATTCCTCGCCTGCCTTTAAAGTCCGAACCACTCACCCCACCCCGTTCAGTAGGATCGGATTCTCCAATGGATGAACGAGGTATGAATAACAATTGTTACTATGACTTCAGAAAATTTTTGGGGGGAGGGGTGAGTAGTCCAAGGGATGTAGGGCAAAAATGGTTAGTAACTGGGTTATGGCGGGGAGGGGGGAGAAGCGCTAAAGAATTTTTTTGAAGGGGGGGAGGGAAGGGGGTGATGTTTTTTTACAAGCGAATAAAGTTTCAAAAGCCGAGCATTTTTTAGTTAGGCGAATTCCCAGGAGGGGAGAGGGAGAGGTAAGATGCCTTTAAAGGG